ACACACACACACACACACACACACACACACACACACACACACACACACACTTTGTATGGCACCATTCCCTATGAAAGAGATCCTGAACTGAACTGTGTGTGTAAGAATGAAGCAAGTGAGCTGAGTGTTAGCATGTGCGAGAGGAAGTTCCCGGGAAGAAGGCATGCTTTCCGAGGATCCTTCCTGTCTGATTAGCTGAGTAGCATTTGAAGTTGAGTGCCAGATTATCTTGGTCCACCTTTAGCCCTCTTAATACCCATTTATTGCTCTTGTCTACGTGCAAAATGACATTGACAGTTAATTAGGTAAAGTTATTGGGATGTACAAACACCTCTCACCCACAAAAGTCTGAATGTCATCAGAGGCATGGAGGCCTAGAGGCAATATCCTCCCACTTTTTAAAAAAGAATTATTTAATTTTATGTATGAATGCTCTATCTGCATGTACACCTGCATGCCAGAAGAGGTCATCAGATGCCAGTATAGATGTTTATGAGCCACCATGTGGTTGATCAGGAATTGAACTCAGGACCTCTGGAAGAACAGATAGTGCTTTTAACTGCTGAGCCATCCCTCCAGCCCACGGTTCTCCCACTTAGCTTTAATACATCAGTTGGCTTCTCCCTGTGTTTGAAAAGCCCTCCTCTTATGACTTTCTTTGTTTTGAAAAACTGTAAAACCTTCCTGAAACTGTCTCCACTTTGGAACATGGAACTTGGGGTAACCAAAAATCTGTATTCCTAGACCATGGAATATTTGACTTCAGGATAAACTATCTCTTTTCCATGTGAGGTAAGAGTTCTATTTTTCATCAACATCTATGGTGCCAGGATTTAGTGTTCCAAAAACAATTTACTTTTCACTGGAGGAATCACTCCGGTGGTTGCAAGGTACTGGTGATCGGGACCTCTTTGTCCAAACCCTCTGACATCATGTCCTCAGATGGATTCTGGGAAGTTCTTTCCGGGCTCTCTCAGATCTCTCTGGGTTTATTTATTTTGAGCTGGATGTTAGGATCATATGTGGTTGGTAAATACCACTTTCATATCTGATTTGCTTTCAAAGTGTTTGATTTAAGGGATCTATTTTGTTTGTTTGTCATGAAGGCATCTTGCTTTCTGGCATTAATTTTGTCCTTTCAGACCTCCAAAGGCATTTTGGTTTGTTAAGCTTGCTAGTAGTTGGTCCCTTTCATATCTATCTAAGGAAGGGAGAAAGGCTTTGGGGGAGAGAGGAAATCCAGATATTTGGTACTCCACTGGTTTTTTTGTTTGATCTATATAACTCAACTTTCAGGTGTGGAAAACTGAGAAAATTTATATAGATAAGTTGACTTTGTTTCCCATTATGAGGATTATTTATTGTCTCTAAACTAGTTTGTTTTGTTCACTTAACTAAAAGTTCAAGGCAATAAAAATTTTTTAAATCACACATAGGCAGCTTGTTTGAAATAGATTATAAAATCATCAAAAATGACAAAATTGTTGATTTACAAAGACTAATAAAAGCTTCAAAACTATATGTGAGCTTAGAAGAGGTGTTAAGTTTTTAATTTAAAATTTTTAGAGGTTAAACCAGAACTTGAAACAAATTCTAAGGACAACCCCCTTTCTCATCCCTTTCTCTGATTTTGCCTCTTCCTTCTTTATCTCCTAAAAGAACAAATCTATGTCAAAGAAAGAGATTGCGGTGGCCTATTTTAAGGTAACATGCAGAGAGAAAAGATATTCCCTGCTATATTAAAACGTCTCATTTGTATAAGCTACTCTCCCTTGGGAAGTCTATAGACACATTGGATACCTATTTTTCTCATTAAACCTCATTCTTTTGTCTCCTGTGCTTAAGCCTGTATTAAAGTGTGTTTATTATGCCAATTAGTCCAAAAATTCTTTTTAGCCTCTATACTGGCTTTTGTCAATTTGACACAAGGTAGAGCCATTTAGGAAGAGGGAACCTCAACTCAGCAAATGCCGCTCTCAGACTGGCCTGTAGGGAAATCAATGGGGCATGTCTTGTGTTGACCGATGTGGGTGGTGCCACCCCTGGGCAGATGGTCCTAAGCTGTAGAAGCAAGCTAAGCAAGCCATGGGTAACAAGTCAATAGGCAGCACCCCCGCGGACTCTGCT